AATGTAAAATATCGATAATGCTTTTTTAAAAACCATTTTATTAAAAATATCTACAAGAATGTTTGATGAAAATCATATTTACGCGCTCAAGCTCATTGATTCTAAAGAGTGTGTTGATATTTCGTGTTGCTCTATCTCCCTGAAAATTGCTGAACTGGATGCTGCGTGAGAAGCCTGAAACCATGAGTCAAACTAAAACATCTTTGAGTCAAACCAAAACCATCATGAGCCTAACCAAAGCCATCATAAGCCTCTCCAAAGCCATCCTAAGCCAAACCAAAACTATCGTGAGCCTAACCAAACCATAATGAATTTCATTTGCATTGCGAGACTCAAAACAAACTATTCTCAACCATGGCCTTTCGTGCCATGGTTGTGAGTTATGAAATTCCTATTATTTGCAAATATTTATTATGGAACCTCGGTCAGTATTTCCCCGAAAGAAGCTAATAAGGCTTCTCGCTAAATGAATTGTCGTAACAATCCACAGGCGCGCCAGACACAAGCGACTGCGATTGCAGGCGCACTGTTCGTGGGGATAAATAGTCTTCCATATTTTGTACGTAAAGTGGCCACGTTGAACCCCGCAAGTGGGTGATAATAATGGCTCCACTTCCTGCTCCTCACGACGTCCCCAACAATGGAGGGATTTCCCTGACACTCCAGTTATAAATCCTACATAATGGAAGGTTTCCGGGACACTAATCCCACTGCTGCATTACACTCTCCGATGTCGCAACTACCTTCCTACATTATATCAGCTTGCGACAGGGTGCGATAGCCTCATACATGCCAAACAGCTTGCGATACGCGAAGGATTCAGCATTGTCTTTCACGATACAGGGGACAGACAGCTTCGTTCGTGTAATAATATGAATTTTGTTCACAATGAGTTCCACCTATCAGAGGAGGAAACAAGTACTACTGCTTGCTGATCTAGTTATAATTTATGGAAGTTTGTCCTGCGTTTTTGATAACGGCCACTAGGAAAAGGCTTCTTTGATTATAAAATTTTGCTTGTGTCCATGAATGAAACACAAGACGCTCTTATGACGCTGTTCACAAGTTTGAATAATGGGATCCGGTGATGAGACAAGCTGTTACTTACTCTCTTTGTTTATTGGGTTCAAGTATTTATAACTGACCGTAGATAATATGATTAAACATTTCCTGGACCTTATCAATCAAGGGTAGAACAAATTGCGAAGCTTCCGTTGGAACACACAGGCATTTGAGCTGCGTCTGAATGTGATAAGTCGCCAGGCCTATCTATTCGCTAGTCATGACTGGAAATATCTCCAGCAACGATTTAGTTTGCATAAATGATTTAGTTTAAAGTGAGCTCAGTTTTTCTAACTCTAACATTCTTCTATCGACTACTATAAATCTTGATGTTAATTGAATTTTATCCACTGGTCGGTTCACTGCTCTGTTCTTAATGATTTTGATAATAAATATAAATATGATTTATAACAAAGTTCGGACAAATGAAGTAATATTTATTGCGTTAATATTAGCACTCTACTGCTTAGAATAGTTTCTTTTTATTCCCGCGATGCACATGAAATTGCATGGAAGGGGAGCGCAGTCGTGCACCACCAATTTTGTGCACCAATCAGCCATTGAATAGAACGCCTAGCATATTTCCGTAAGGCCACCAATCAGCCCTGTATTAACCCTGCCTTCAGTAACCAGCCCATGGCATCATCTTGTTTTAAATATCTAGAGATTTACACCACCAGATACAAGAGCGAATAGCCCAGAGTGTAATGATCGTCCACCACTGAGCGTTACACCGAATCTTCACTTCATACCCCGACTTTATAGCTTGAACTGTAACTAGCGGACAAGAGACTGCGACCAACCAGCCCAGCTCGCCAGTGGAACTGCATGAATCCGGCCGTGCACCACAAGCCTTTCGGTCGCATGAGCCGTGCAACTGGCTAAGCGCAGTGTGTGGTAGAGCCCTGGGGCCATACTTTCAAAACTCGCTAAGTTAACGTAAGTACTTACGCTCTATTTTCTTGCCTGTGATTGGTCGATTTTGCTTGAAAGGCCGTCAATGATTGGCTGATGAACTTACGATCTCTTAACTTTTTTTGAAAGTATAGGCCCTGCATGGGAGGCTGGCTGTCTAGTAGCTCTAGCTGACATATTCGTGCGGCACAAGCCATGTCGAATGAAGTATGCAAGTTCATGCTCGTTAATGGAGTGTTATGCAACCTTTGCACCATATTTATGTATAGAGGTTTAAGCTTTTATTAGGCCGTAGGCCCGTCGCCGATTCTTAACATTGCAGAACATTCACAGCTTGTTGCGGGCTCGACTTCGCAATTCACTGCTTCAAATCTGCTGTGCTTAACCGCCCGGCCTCCTCGCCGATTCTGACCTGAAACTGGCGCACAGAGCTGGGATCGAACCCGCGCCTCTCTGCTCCAATCCTGGTACTCTGAACTTTAACAATTATATAAAATATATATTATATATAATTTATGTACTCAAAATTAATATAGTGCGATCAGGGTGTGGAATGAATGAAAGGTATATTTGCTTGTAAATTATACTAAAATTGAAGATTTTGCGCCGTATTGGTTTAATATAAATTTTAAAGATAAGAACATGACGTGCTGCACAGTAATGCCGAAGGATGCAACAAACGTATTTTTTGTATGTTCGCGCTAATCGAAAATAATGCTGCTGTGCTACCTGGACTGCCTGAATACAAAACCATTACAGAAAAATGAAAACATTCTTTATTGGCGTAATTAAACGTCATTCCAAAAAAATCGAGTCAACGCTTCGTTGTTAGTAAATTAGCTAAATCGATCAAATTCCTTATGAGGTCATTATCAAATCATTATGATTATCTACCTCAAGGTACGGTGGGCACCAGCTATCTTAATCTAGTTTTTTTAATGGTCAAAAAGACAAACCTCGTTCAATCAGTGAGAATAAATGTTTACGAACTCGTACAACTGCATCCGTTCCTACCTCATAAAACTTGTTTACGTTAGCTTCCCTGAATAGTGTGAACAGAAGGGTCGTTTCCTCAGTTCTAAGAGCGTTTATACCAACGTCGACGCTGCGACGTATCTTAATTAACTGGGTACCCTCGAGTATACAGGCTATTGGAAGGGACTCGAGCTATACAGGCTATTGGAGGGACTCGAGCTCTAAGTGCAGTAAAACGAGATTTGTTCAACCACTTTTTCAGTTTTAGATTTATTTCTGGATTTATTCATTATTTAAAAGATTTATCTGCAAGCGTCATGAATAAATAATATTAAATTGCAGGATATGTTATCATGGGAATTACCGTATTAGTTTTAATTGTTTGCAAAATAAAGATAGATGTTTTAGCAGCTGAATGGTTTATTTCAGTTTATTTGAATTTTATTTGACTGAGACAGTTTATTCAGTCCGTTTACTCAGTCAAATAAACTGAAAAAATTTGAAAGTGTGGAGACTTTCATCAAATATTTAATCCTCTCAAGTGAAGTTGGTTGAACTGACAAAAGCGAATGCGTAACAATGAACCGTAAGCATTGATTATTATTTGATTTGATTATTGACACGTGCAATTGCATTCGTTTAAAATAATAAAATCAGTAACCGTATTGCTTGTTGAAGCCATTAAATTTTTAACAGATGTGTAGCCTCACGTGTTAAGAACTTGAGCAATATATTACAGCGAATTTACGGTCAAGACGAGGAATACGGAAAGTTGAAAATTTGATGAATGTAAAGAGCACAGAAGATGAAAAGGGTTGACTCATTGTAATGACCGAAGAAAAGTAAAAGTAGCGAGCGTGCTCAACTTGGGGAACATCTTCTCCAATTCGATTACTGTTGACCAGTTGGGCCGGACGTTGAATTAAATTGTATTTGATATCAAACGGTGTTTAATGTGTACAATCATGCAATCAATGCATACATGCAGGCATTTATTTTGAATAGACGCGAAATGATCAATGCGCATTAGGAACACTAGTTATTTTCGAGCAGGTAACCTTCCCGCCCTATAGTGAACAACTGAACTGTGGATGCTTGACGTGTTCAAAGACGACGACGATATCATGCTGAAAACTCGATTCTTGAAGCATGCCAGGATAAATGTAATGCAGAGAAGCATAGGGGATTGTTTATAAATTCTTTTATATACCAGAATGAACCACATAATAAGAATATTAAGGTCGAATGTGTCTCAACATCTGAAAATAGGCTTAGTCATGAATGCTGTCAACGCTTGTTCGATGAATTTTCAATCTACATACTAAGTCCGCTAGACAAAAACTGCCATTTAGTGTTGAAAATCAGTAATAAATTTTTGTCATTCGTCTGAAGATATTGGCGCTGGAGGATTGCATACGTTGTTTAACATATATAAATATCTTTTAAATGAGAAAACTTCATCTATGTCATCATAACTGAGGCTCATATTGTTCAATTCAACATTTCAGCAAGTTTCAAATAACGTAGTCTCTGCCCAACATTGCGCCAGATGAGCTGTTCGAGCTAACTTCGTAATTCATACCTTCAGCAGGAGCTTTCGACGTGCGGCGTTCGACCGTTGGCTGTCAGGGCGGATTCGATGCACATGCGAGATACGGATGGGTTGGTTGGTGGCGGTGCTCATTTTCACTGCAAGGTTCCGGCGCGCTCTGTCCCAGCAGTGCAGAATTTTTTTTTGCGCATTGGCAGACGATGCTGGGCCATACTATAGCAGGCTGTTTTCCTGTGGGCTGATCGATATTCTTCAAAGGATGTGATCTGTCTGGTGGCCTGCGGCTGATAATGTTGCAGTCAAGAAGTGTTATAGGCTACGTTATTGAAGGAAGAGATCGTGATAGTTCATTCAAAGCACGGCAGTGGTGGTTTCCGACAGTCGTCGTCCCCTTGGAAGATCTCAACGCCTAGGAGATAGTCATCCAGCGGCAGTAGAACCGGAAGGCGCAATCGTCCGCACTCCGCTCGTCCGCTGCTCAGTAGTGGCGTGGCGGCCGCGGTGTGAGGTTGGTGTGTCGTCCTCTTATAAATAGTCTGTTGAGCTGTTGACATCACCCAAGCTTCGAAGAACTTTTGGAATAATTTAAAGTTATGCGAGTGATACTGACGGCTGAAGCTAAATTCAGTAAAGTCTATATAGTAAAAACTGTTTATGAAAATAAGCCGCTTGATGATTAGCATCTTTCGCTGTGGCTCGAGCATGAATGAAAATTTGTGATTCATAACGATTGTCCTCGGCTCACAGCTCAACGTATTTCGCGTATGGCATTTTGTGAACAATTTAAGAATTATTTATGTTTAATCATCTCTCATTGATTACGAGATTATGAAATCAAATTTATTCCAATTTGTATCGGTGAAAAGTATCAGGGTTGGTTGTTTGAACTTCTAACGCGTTGGGTGATAATTGAATGATCTTTGACAGCGTAGACTGACCGTGTAGAGTGCGGGCAGTGGTCGCGGATCACACAAGTGTGTGATCGCTTGATAATTGGTGATCGACTGGTGGTGTGTGGTCACTCTAATCCCCAGGGTGCGGCGGCAAGCATGAACTGCTCCAACCTCATATGCTGGGGCTCATTCAGAGTCAAGCCGCAGCCTCAGTCGTATCCAGGTATGCACATCATCTTTAATATGCACCTAGTTACTTATTTTGTGTTCAATAATTCGTTGATGTTCCAAATGATAATTAAAATTAGCACCTTTTTAAATTTCTAGTGTCTTTTAGAGAATCGTTCTTTGAGCCTCGGCTAGAAAGGGGAATTATATATTTTTCACCGAATGTCTGGCAAGCATTTTTTAATAACTAATGTAACCCTGTCTATAATTAATGTTGAACGTTCGATCACCAATCTCCTAGGCAAACAATCTTAAGTTGGCGTCTATGCGCATCGCCGGTCAATGAACGGGATTTGAAGAAAAATCTTTCTTGATTTTTTTTTAGCTTTTTAGGTTGAAGGCACAAGTCTGTATTCTATATGTAACCCTGCGGATTCTCGACCACGTAACGGTTATACTTACATGTCTTGCTTGCTGCGAGTTCTTGCAAACTTTTCGTTGGTTTTGCCCGACTGAATGCTTCCATCGTGCTGAGCTCGGTTGGTACATCAACTCGTATCATGTTTGCTACTAGCACGAAAGAGTTAGGTATGCTTCGAGTGATGAGCTGTCACAATTTTTAAGCTTACAATCAAATCATAAATTTAATTACAAAAAAAATGTGAATATGTAGCGAGTTACGCAATCGCGGCTTCATCCATATGTTCGACTTGTGTATTTTTATTTCCCTGCCGTTGAGATAATGTCACCAGCAGGGCAGGCCTCGAATATCTCTAGTCCCAAGTAACATTCCTGGAGCGGTTTTGTTGCAGAAGTGCTCTTAACTTCCATTTGCTGTGACAAGACTTCGGTATTAGAAAAACATTGAGCGATTCTTCTCTCGAGATGCCATGCGAGCTCAGTCAGGTGTTCATCACTACATCGAAATTTCTTTTTCTCATTTTCTTCTAATTTAATTTTATCGATAAACGCATTTTTATGGTCTAATTGCTATGAATTCATTTTCTTTTAGAACATTAAAGGTTGTGAGATGTTTGAACACCGACTACGAATGCACAAATTGAAATATTACTCACCTTCTACTGTTCCTCAATGAACCGTAATGTGAAGACTCATGCAATTGGATTGATGAATTGTGTATCACTGGCAAATTATTACATCACTAATTTATTCAATCTCCCATTGAATAAACACAGGCTGTATTGCATGTTTGAAACACAGCTGTTGGTGGTTAGGATGTGAGACTGTGGTGGTATAGGAGCGGTTGTTGGACCCTAAGCACTATCTCTTAGTTGAGGCTTAACACTATCACCACGCCGAGCGATTAACGGTCTCACTGTTACTAAGAACTTGTGCCGCCAGTTATTCAATATATTACGGCAAAATAATACATCCAATATAGGCATGTTTTCTCCATTGCGTTATAATGTTATAATGTTTTATCCATTGCGTTAATATAGGTAATAATCTTACGGCACAAATCTCACTCAGGACGTTCGTTTGTATAAAAACTATTACCTTACGTACTTTCAATTATTTGAGAAAAACTGCCGAGGGTGATGAAATAGGTACTATACGTTCTGGTCTTGGAAATTATGAATAATTTCATGCATTGGCACTGCACAGCTGGGCATGTTCGTCCAGAATTATGTGTTTGTTTTTATGCTACTAAAATGAGTCCTAAACTGAGTCGTTGCTTTTAGTAGAGATGTGTTCGCTGAACTGCACAGCATGTTTATGTCTTCGTATTTCTAGCCGTGCTGTGTACTTGTCAAGGCCTAGAGTCCCACGATCCTATTTCATGTGTCCTGGGCCAGCCGAGGACTCGTTGAACTGAACCTTCTAGCGTGTAATTCGATCACTTTAGCCTAAAGGACTGAAGTACGCGCCACTCGTTCTGTATGTCTCATTTTGTGCGCGGCTGAACTTTCGTTCAAAGGAAGCGTGAGATCCTACACAAAAGCTTCTGTATTACTCTCACGTGAAGAGATGTGTGTCTTTACTATAAATCTCAGAATATTTTTTCGATATAAATAATTCATATAAGGTAGACATTGAAATTATCCTTTGCATCGTTAACGAAATAGTAGATTCAAACGATGAGTAGATTCAAAGTTTGGTTCGTTTGATGGTTCAGCCGATTTGGATACGCATAACCCACGGATCGCAATATTTTAGAACATGTTCGTACTGATTTTTCGTGTTTTTTCTCTACTTCCGCACTATATCAGACACAGCTGATGTTATTCGTAGACGATAAACACCCATCGTATTATAATCAGTGGCAATAATTTCCCATTGCGTTACATAATTTATCCACATGGCCTCTGAGTTACATCTAAGCTCTCAGGCAGAATTTGGGATATTTTTTAATTCGGCGGCCCTGGTTGTAGGTTGAAGCAGCTGCGACGGTGCGGCGCTATTGTCTCGTCGTGAGAGCTCCTGCCGCTCAATAGCTCAACGAAGAATCAGGGTATCGATTTCTGCTTGCATGCGGGGTTTGTATCTGCTGCTGCTGCATTCATTACTATTTCCTTTTAGCGCGAGAACTCTGATTTGGATTTGAAAAATGTGCTATTCTTCATAAAATTGTATTCGTTCATATGTTTTTAAATTTCCTGTAATGAATGTCAGAGATACCACGCGAAACTGGAGCTCTCAGTTGATCAGAAATGTTTTTACATGTTAGTAAAACTATCACTTTTTCTAGACTGTGATCAAGCGAAACCAATAATAGTTTTTGATTAGCAATCTACTTAGTTACAACTTCTGTCATACATACACGCTGACAAATTTCCCTTCCTAACATTTAGTACTTTAATTCTCTACTTCTAACTTCTGTCATATTCAACTGAGAAATATCCCTTCCCAACATTTAGTACTTGCTTTAATTCTACAACTTCTGTCTTATATTCACACTGAAAAATTTCCCATTCAACATTCATTACTTTCTTCAATTCTAATCTCGCTCTTTTCCTAGGCATATAATTTTGTTATGTATTAACACTGAAACATATTCTTCCCAACATTCAGTACTTTCTTCAATTCTAATCTCGCTATTTTCCTTGGCATATAATTTTGTTATGTATTAACACTGAAACATATTCTTCCCAACATTCAGTACTTTCTTCAATTCTAATCCTGCTATTTTCCTTGGCATATAATTTTGTTATGTATTCATACTGAAAAATTTCCCTTTCCAACATTCAGTACTTTCTTCAATTCTAATCTCGCTCTTTTCCTAGGCATATAATTTTGTGTTGGTTGTTCCTGGCCGTGTAGAGAAACGGGCCGGCACGTCATGCCCGCGCCTCGTCGAGGGAAAGCGACGCGGGCGCGTGGGAATCGTCAAGTCTGGCATCACGGCGGCCGCTTGACCTCTAACGCTCGGCAAACTCGAGCGCTCACCGCGCTAAGAGGCTTGTTTATTTGACGAGGTCTGCGCGGTTTGCGGTGTATTCCATGCTGGAATACAGTCAATTGCTCTATTTGTTCTGTAGTTACTCATTTTTTTGTTTCAATGGGTCTACTTAATTCACTTGCCCGATATATTGACCAGAATTTTGTTAGTTGGGAAGAATATGAAGTTGAAATATAAACTCCTCAAGTTAGCTCACATTCTTCATTCTATTCAAGTGTGATATTAATTCTAACGTGAAGTGAAAGGAACTAACGTTTAGACGTTTAAAATTTGCATTTTGCCCGACAAGAAGGTTCTGCTCACTTTGTCGAGATTAAAAGCGACCACCAGGCTGGAACTGTCCACTACTGTTCTAAGGTTCCTGCGCTCTAAGTTTGAAACTTTATAGTCGTTGTGAAAATTTCCTATACTTCTCAATTGTTCATCTACGCAATTTGTTCATCTACGCAAACAGAGCGAATGTATTAGCGCATGAGTAGAATTCTGCCAGTATATACGCAACCCTCTGAAGTGGGCCTCGTTCCACGGTCGAGCGCCTGCGACGATCTCTTTGTTCTTTCCTACTGTAATTCGTGCGCTCTCGAACTTCGAATTCGGGGCATGTGTTTGAAGCTGCTTTACATTCTTTCTCCGAGTTCCGTAATTCTTCCTGACTAGATGCCGTGCTCTTATCAAAATGATCTTTTCTTCCGTATTTCGAAGCCGCGAAACCCGATTTTCATTGAACGTCCAGGTTACAGATATTATTGAGCTGCAGGTCAACTCGAACGCTTATTCCCTGTACTGGAACAAACTACGATGTTCTGTAGGTATTTAGTGTTAAAGGAATAAACTGGTGCTTGGCAATGGTTCAGTTTTCGATACTAAATACCTGTGATCACATTGTTATAGCGTCTTCATTATTAGACAGAAAAACGAGCAGGTGCAAGAGTGCAGACATGGAAATATTTGCTGCAGCTGCTCCTGGTCTGCCATGCTACAGCAGGTGCTGCACGCATCCTATTCACGTGGTAGAATACCACCAACGTGTCGTTGACCTGTTAATGCCACTGCTGCAACTTTTGATTTTATCTCTTTTTAGCGCATTTTCTCATTTATGGAAAAAATGCACTATTGTGCTCGCCATGTCCGTCTGTCCGTCCGTGCGTCTGTCCGTCTGTCTGTCTGTTCGTCCGTGACTTCACGTTTTCGTCGACTAGAAAATGCGCTCTCTGTCACTCACCGCGGTGAGTACTGAGTTATATTTTTTGAAAGCTGTGTTTGCACTGAAACACGTGTTGTCCTCGAAAGTGTTTGTCTTGTCCATCGACATACCCAGTGACGTTTCAGTGCCACAGGACATGTTCTCTCGAAACTGAACTTGACTCGTACAACTAGACTCTTGCATGAACTCGAGTTACTAGACTCATACAATCATCTCCATGCAGTGCAAGTCCTGGAAAACGCTTTCTCTTTCTTACAACTTTGAGGTGTAATTGGGAACATGAAAAGGCTGCAGTGTAAATTTCTCCGCCATTATAGCTGCATTGGTCGGCAAATATCGTTCAAAGAAAGTTATAATTTTCAAATTTGCTGGCGCACGCCAGCTTGAGAGCTCCATGTGAAAGCTGCGTTTTTGCGTGCGATGCTGACAC